TCTCTTTGCTAGAGGTACCTCTTGTGGGCCCTTCCCTTTCGCTAGGAGACCCAGAGCCTGGGCAGCTAGCCCCAAGGGAGGGAAGAAGGGATGTGCCTAGCTGAAACCAGCTCTCTGCAGAACTATCAGTGCTTTGCCAATAACTCACACTGAAGGCTACTAAGACACGAGCGCTGCACTGGTACCTAGGAACCGGCCCTCCTGCCAGCAGGGCAAAGTTCTCTCAGTCCAAGAGCAGAGCCAAGAGCAGCCCAGGGGTCCAGATTCCAGAACAACAGTTTAGAGCTCTGGAGAATTTTCTGCAACACAGAGGTTTAACAGCACTTACGTGATCTTCTAAGGTCACATCTTCCCTTGAAACACCCAGGTTGGCTTTGGCGATCCCAGGCTGGATAATCATTTCTTTCAGGAACTGGGAATACAGATCTCTTCAGAAAAAAAAAAAAGAGGAATTTGCAATGAAACAGAAGATTGTCAACGTACGCACCAAGACTGAGTTCAAATAGACCCCTCTGTACCACCCTGCTCAGCCAGAATTTGATTTTCCCTTCAGCTGAGTTTAGCTGAAGAGGTCAAGCCACCAGACAGTCTGCAGAACAGTGCACTGCACACAAGAACAATTCGTCTTACGAAGGTATTTAATTATTTAAGGAACTGTTCTCCCTCTCTGCAGATATCATTAGAAATAAAGGGGCAAGTACTGACATCCTCACCTCTGTTTCTTCAGCAAAGAGCTCCATAAGGCTTTCTCTAAAGGGAGGTAGTTCAGGAGTATCTGTACGGAAGACAGATGCACACAAATTAGTATTTGGAGAATGAGCTGTTTCACCTGCAAGATGAGCAAACCAAACACAGAGGCTAGATCTGGTTCTTTGAAAAAACTTGGAACTTTCACCAGGAAGCCTAATACTTTGCCAAGCAAGAGTCAGGAATATTCTGGGGACTGGTTTTCAACACAGATCTATTTTTAGGGATTGATCAATAGCAAACCTGACTGAAATGCACTCCTAGCTTAATACTAAGGGCTGTTCTAATGCAGAGAGCAGTCACTGCCTATCATCCAAAGGAACGGCAGTCTCATATCGGTAAATGCTATTGCAATTGTGCCAGTGCTGATCTCCACACATTACTGTCAATTTTGAGTGGCTTTTAAGCTCTAGATTTTTGTTGTTGTTTACAATTTTTAATGTCCAAAAACACTACGTGTACTTAAGCAACCCAAAGCATCACTTGCAAGGAACAAAAGCACCCCAAGCAAAACCCACCTTCCAGCATAGGCAGCGCAGCCCACCATCAAAGGGAATTCCTGTGGAACATCAGGCAGAGAAATAGCTGCATTAGCCCAGAAACAGCTACGTTAGCCCCAGTCTCCTCACCGTGGTTTGCTAACGTCACCACACAAACAGGCAAGGCAGCACTTTTCCTCCCCAGAGGGCAGGAAGTTTTCACAGTGACATTGCAGGAGTTATATGCGGTGCCAAATTCACCAGTGCCTCCCACAGAGGGTGCCCGCGGCAGGTGGTGGAAGCAGAAAGCTGGGGACCGTGCAGGTGATGGCCAGGGCAGAGCAGAAGCAAGGAAACCCACAAGAGTCTCGGAGAGGGGGAAGAAAGGGTTCTCCTGGAAGTTTGTGGCTGTGCTCAAAGGCCAGGTGAGGACCGCTGCGGCCTGATGGAGTCTGGGCTTCAAAACACACCCGTCAGCCTCGGCTTTCCAACAGCCGCCGCTTCACAGCGGCTCTAGGAGGGGATTACTTCGCGGTAGCTGAGGTGGCCTCCAGCTGCCTGGGACACCCCGGGGCCTGACAGCCCACGCCTGCGCCTTCGGCCGTCCCGAGCCCACACATGCCCAGCGCCCCCCTGCCCAGATCGGGACCAGTCCTCACCCCTCCCCGGGCCACTCACCGCTGAAGCAGAGG